TCAGACGCAAAAAAGGTTTGTTATAAATATTAATTAAAATAATTTTCTAAATTATATAAAATTGAAATAACAAAGGTAAATATTACCTGTTCATCATGAAAATGCGTTATAGCTCTCCCGTTCGTGATGGGTTTCAATAATGCGGACGCAAAAAAAAGGTTTGTTTCTTTTGTTAACGTACTCCAGTCTGGAAGCATTATATATCAAGTGTACCCCAGCCTTGGGTTTCAATAATGCGGACTGCTCTCAGACGCAAAAAATGTTTGTTATAACTATTAATTAAAATAATTTTCTAAATTATATAAAATTGAAATAATAAAGGTAAATATTACCTGTTCATCATGAAAATGCGTTACAACTCTCCGTGATGGGTTTCAATAATGCCGACTGCTCTCAGACGCAAAAAAGGTTTGTTATAAATATTAATTAAAATAATTTTCTAAATTATATAAAATTGAAATAACAAAGGTAAATATTACCTGTTCATCATGAAAATGCGTTATAGCTCCCCCGTTCGTGATGGGTTTCAATAATGCGGACTGCTCTCAGACGCAAAAAAAGGTTTGTTTCTTTTGTTAACGTACCCCAGTCTGGAAGCATTATATATCAAGTGTACCCCAGCCTGGAAGCATTATATTGTATATGCGATGAAAAATTATTCTCTTTTTTTTTTTTTTCTCTGAACTCGTGAATGATGAGTTGTAATGGTGGTAGTTAATATCCTTTTATACAATTTTTTATTAACAAAAGTGATAAGATAATTATGGATTGTATTTGGATCGATATTAAATTCCATGATTTTTGGGATGCAACAACAAAATATGCAATCACATGTATATATCTTATCACGTTAAAGGTATATCCATCCCTAAAAAAAGGGAAATATATAATGCCTTAATTGGCGGGATTTGTGTATTTTCGTAACAGATTTGCTTAATTAATGGGATCTGATACTTAATTAACGGGAATACCAATTACAAAATCTTATTCACGATTTTTTTTTCAAAATTTGATTGAGATTACATAAATAGAAAGTCAAAAGTCAACTCAATTTATTTTAAGTTTCTAAAAATGATTTTTACATCAACCTTTTTAGATATATATAGATTATTTCTCTCTCCTCCATCTACACAACTCAATCTTCCAATCCAATTTATCTTTATCCCCAACCCAACCCAACTTAAATATTTATTTTATTTTAATTTATTTAAATGTTACAATTGTGTTCTAAAATATATCAAGTGTGGTCTCTATTTGTAGAGAATGAAAAAATACGAATTTTAGTATTTTTTTTATTTTTTTTAGAAACAAAAAAAATACACTTATACAATAAAAATGAGACAAGTGTCCCATTCCTATACAATAACCGGTCACGACCCGAGGTCATCATGTGACTTGGGTTGCTGAAAGTTGTGACCTTTTATTTTATTTTTATTTTTATTTTTTTTTTGTCTTATTCCCGTGACCAATGGGTGGGTCACGGATNTTATATAAGCATTACATAGTTTTTATTTTTTATTTTTTATTTATTTGTTTAAGAGCTTAAGACCCTACAACTTTAGGTAGCAAACAGCAGAAACCAACCTTGCATACAAATATCCATTTGCTTTATGACAGATCATATTCAATAATTGGATGACAAATACATGTGAATTCTCGTTTTCTAGTTGATTTTTCTTGTTAACGATTTATACGGTTTTTGTCCGGTCACCACAAATGATATGTGTGCAGTAGGGTCGTTCGAGGGCTATGTTGCTATAGTTGGTAGGATACAATGATTTTCCATCACACAAATTGTTGATTTTGCCTTAAATTCTATATGAAGTTCTAAAGACAAGTGCATGTGATTCCTCATGGCTCTTCCATGCATATTCTCTTTCAATAAACCTCTATAAATACACCGCTCTTAATTTTTTTTTTGGACTATACCAAGCAATAAGTCCTAAAAAATCTCTCTGCTTTAGTTCATTCTCACAGTATTTTCAAGAAAACTTCCCATTTATACTCATAAGAGATTTTTGATTTAGTTATTGTCTACGTAAAAATGGCCATCCGTCAAATGTTGAGACGTTCCTTATCCAGCGAAAAAAGATCAGCTGAAGTTCCAAAAGGACATTTTGCCGTTTATGTTGGGGAAAACGAGAAGAAGAGATTTGTTATCCCGGTTTTGCATTTGAACCATCCTTTATTTCAAGAACTTCTTCTCCAAGCTGAAGAAGAATTCGGGTTTTATCATCCAATGGGAGGCCTTACAATTCCGTGCAGTGAGGATTTATTCATAGATCTAACCTCTCGCATGAGCTGATTTTTGTGATCTGTATATCATTTATTTTTCTTTTTAGCAGGACACATTTTTTTTATTTTTATTTTTTAAATTTAGGTTCATTGGGAAAGAGAACTGTACAAAGGAGTTTTACAGAAATAGTATTGTGAATCTATATGAAAAGTTACACCAATTTCAGGAAAGCATTATCTAATTTGATTTGTTATTCTATAAGTTTGCTAGGAACAGTAAATGGGGTTCTTAAGACAAAGTCAAATTCCAAAACAGAACAAGAAAATGAACTAAAAACAAGAAAGAAGAGGGACTTAATAAGGCAGACTTTTAACATCTATATCTATGGATTTGTTTGTAAAACCCAAGTATTAATTTTGTAACAATTTTTAAAATTTATTATCTTATAGAATTTTATTATTATTATGTTAGAACTTAAAATACGTTATAAATTAGAATTGATTATCTTATAAAATTGAATGTTATTATGTTAGAACTTAGAAATTATTATATAAATTTACAAATTAAAAGGACATAAGATATACAGTAGATCCTTGTACAGAGAAAAAATCATTTTGTGTGCACACAAAGCTTGATAAGCCCTGTTGAACGAGAAGATTTGTGGCTGTTGAGAAGACATAACTTTGTATTAAAAGTATATGGGACATTTTTTATTAAAAAAAAAAGGAAACTATTCCATTTGCCAATTTGATAAAAAAATCAATTAAATATTGCAAAAATCAACAAGTTTTCTTCTAGTCATATTATTATACACAATATGCATTGTATATTTGTATACTTGTTCTTCCAGTGATGAATATCAAAGAAAAATCATTTGAAAAATGGTACTGTGTATACTAAAATCTTCAGAAAAAACTAATATGGTATTATTTTGTCCTTGATACAATTGTACTGAAGAACTAATATGGTATTATTTTGTCCTTGATACAATTGTACTGAAGAACTAATATGATATTATTTTGTCCTTGATACAATTGTACCCGACGAAGTATCTTCTACACTTTGTAATAAAAAAAAAAACGATTGCCTGTCCTGAAACTAAAAGCTAATAACAAGGCCTACTTAAATCCCATCTTCCCCAACTGAGATGTAAGATCAATGAACAAATCTTTACTGCACGGAATAGTTTGGCCTCCCATAGGATGACCGAAACCAAATTCTTCTTCGGCTTGAAAAAGCAACTCTTGAAACGAAGGAAAATTCAAGTACGAAACTGGAATAACAAATCTCTTCTTTTCATTTTGCCCAACATAAACAGCAAAATATCCTTTTGGGACTTCGACTCCTTTTTCGTTCGATCTTTTCATCTCATATAATAAATTGCGTCTAAGCACAGACCCGCTTTAACAAACAGCACAGACCGGCTTTAACAATTTAAGCCGATAATGATGTCAATTTAATCTTTTCATAATACGTAATCCTTAAGGTTCAGCTAGAAAGCATACGTAAGTAAATGTTAATACTGGATTTTATTGCAGTAGAGGCATTTGACGGCCCTGTTGATATATTTGAGAGGGTACATTGTTTGTCTTTCAAACATTATAAGGATTTTAAGGCACAACAACAATTTGAGTGATAGAAAAAAAATTGTATCCTACCAACTATAGCAACATAGACTTCGAACGACCCTACTGCAATAAAACTAACATACATAGATTTTGTGGTGAGTGTAGAATACAATAATGAGCATTTCACATGGATTTGTCGCCCGATCATTGAATATGATTTGTAATAAAAAAGAATTCTATTTAATGAATATAACCAAGACTGGGCCATAGTTAAATCTTGTAAAGAGTGGTGAAGAGTATTTTATATCAAAGCATTAGCACATGAAGGATCACATGGTTTTGTCATCTAATCATAAATAATGTACTAAATCTGATTTTACCAAATGTGAAAATTGGTTTGGTAAAGAAACAGAAAAACAAGAACAATAATGACTTGAATCCACAACCACTCAATCTAAATGCTAAAGAGATATGATACTCACAAGCTCATCTATATATACACACACATCCAAACACATTTCTAAGCTCACAAACAACAACAACAAAAACAAATCCTTGAAATTCTCAAAACCTTTCATTTGTTTCACATTTAGCTTTAATTACTGCATTTAAAAAATCCATGGCCATTCAACGCATTCTTAAACGCTCTTTATCGTCCGAGAAAAGATCGAACGGAAAAGGAATCGAGGTCCCAAAAGGACATTTTGCTGTTTATGTTGGGGAAAATGAAAAGAAGAGATTTGTTATTCCGGTTTCGTATTTGAACCATCCTTCATTTCAAGAGTTGCTTTTTCAAGCCGAAGAAGAATTCGGTTTCGATCATCCAACGGGAGGCCTAACTATTCCGTGCAGTGAAGATTTGTTCATTGATCTTACAACCCAGTTGGGAAAAATGAGATTTAAGTAGGTCTTGGAGCAGTAAAAGAACTATGTTATTAGCTTTTAGTTTCAGGACAGGCAATCGTCTTTTTCTTACAAAGTGTAGAAGATACGTTGTCGGGTACAAAATATTGTATTCCTGGACAAACTAATATCTATTAGTTCTGAAGATTTTAGTATACACAAGTGCCATTTTTCTCGAATGATTTACTTTGATATTCTTCACTGGCAGAACAAGTACACTAGGCATATCACAAGTGATGCTAATTCAAGCTATACTATGTAAATATGGTAATCGATATAGAATTTTGTAACTTTGAATGGCAAAGCAGAGGAATTATTTTCTTGAACAAAATTTGGTAACTTTCAAGTGAATGTAAGAGTATTGTACTTTATATTAGAACTATGGATAAATTATCAGCAATAATGATGTAGAACGTGAATAAGAACGGGAAAGATACGAGATACTCTTTCGTGAAGAACTCACAATATCAGAAAACTCAAATTCATTCAACCTACTATTTGATAAATAGTTCATACATATCCATTATATAATATATCCATAATATTTGATTATGTATTATTTTTTTTATATTAAAAATACTTCCAAATCTACTAAAATTTATTAAAAAAAAAATCTACTAAAATTTATAAAAAATACTTCCAAATCTACTAAAATTTATAATATATCCATAATATTTGATTATGTGTTTGCTTGACAGTGTGTTGAGAGATACCATGGTGACAATCTTATAAGTCCATTACTCGATGACATTCTCCTTATTATCCTATCTTTCCTCCCATTGGAAGAAGCTGGCCGAACAAGTGTTCTTTCTTCTCGTTGGAGAAACCTATGGAGTTACATCTCACATCTCAACTTTGATGACTATAGTTCGATGGAGAAGGTTGTATGGGATGCAGACTGTCGGATTGTTGAGAGGGAAAAGTATGTAAAGTGGGTGGATTCGGTTCTCCAATCACACCGAGGCTCCACCGTGAAAGAATTAAGAATATGCTTTAGTTTAGTCAAATCAGCCACAAAGTCAATTACCAAGTGGCTTGAATTTGCTTTTGAGAGGCACACTGAAAAGTTGGAATTGAACCTTTCAGATGGTGACTTTGTTCATCACCTACATGAAATGTATGTGTTTCCTCAAGAGTTATGCAGTTCAGACGGTCCTTACAAATATAGTAGACTTTTCAACTGTAAGTCCATAAAAATGTTGTCCTTGGGCTGTATTAATCTCTGGTGAAACTATTGAGTTTCTCTTACGTGGCTGCCCATTGCTCGAGCAGTTAATTGTCCGTGCCTCCAAATGTTTGACACGTCTTGAAGTTTGTGGACCATCCCTTGTATTAAAGCATTTGGAGATACTAGTAAAGTGCACGTGCGATGCACGTGGTATCGAATGATTTTTGCTGAGTAAGTTTGTAAAATAAATTAATTTATTTATTAAACATATCATTGCAGGAATGAAATAAAATATAGAACAAATGAATTCATATGTGATTTTTTTATTTATAATTAGCGTAATGATGTCCTAATATAAAAAGAGTGAAATAACGTTTTACAACCCCCAGCTAAAATATATAAAAAACAAATCCTTAATACAAAAACCATTAAGATTTTCTTTCATCTTTCTTATAAGAAACATTCATACTCGCTGGAGTCTAATACATCAATACTATTGCAAAATTTCTCTTAATTCATTTGGCAAAACACTAATTTTATTAAAACACTTAAGAAACATTCTGACTGAACATATAGTCAAACTTCATGATCGTATAATCATTATAATAAGGTACTTCTACTAACGATGCATAAATATCTCTATAAAATAACTAATTGTGTCATTAAAATTGTCGGTATTTTTTTATCATTGTATTAACTACTATATTCCTTTGTCTCTAGACATATTGGTGCCACCCCATTGATGCATCGCCCCACGAGGTGGGAATGAATTTTATCTCCAAATAGAAGTTGACTTTCCAAAATTTTGGTTACATGTACTTCTCCCGAGGTGCTAAATTATTTTTTGAAATCATCATACATTACCTGAAAGTACCTCTAAAATAATTGCACATATGTTCGAGTACAATATACCAATGAGATTATAAATATTTCTATATAAAGTAACAACTTCATTCGAACATTCAAAATTGTTTTGATACTCCGACATTGTTATTTATTTAGAATATAGACGAACAACATAACCTATTATTTGAAAATTATTGACCATCATGGCTGTTGGAATGATTTTAGAATTGTTTATCATAATATCTTTCACATTCGTTTGAATATGCAATATTTGTGTGCCTAATAACTTCTTTGATGCCTTTATTTTCCAACATTATTCATCATACAAAATGATTATAAAATTCAAGATAAAGATCATTTCCTTATTCTCCAACAATGACAAAACAAAACAATTAAAACAATGAGAAAATATTGAGAAACATATCATTTGTTAAATTATTTGATAGGAGAAGAGTTACAATTCTATTATATTGCGATACTCTTAGTCATCTGCAAAGTTTATTATTATTGAGTCATGATTAAAATATACATTATGTATTACAAATTTTTTGATTTTTTAATTATTTAAAATTAAAAATAAATAATATAGGATCATTATTTATGAAAACCAATTTCTTACAGAGTCCCTATATTTAAACGCTAGCAGCAAGAAAGTAGTAATTTTCTTATTCTCCTGTTGGGAGCCAACACCTAGGCATTCTCTCTCAGGGGAGCTTTTAGTTTTGTGATTGTTCTTTAGTTGTGTTTTTCTCCCGTGGGGAGCCAGTTTGTAGTTGTTGGTTGTTCGAGTTAGGTTTTTTCTGGCGTTGCCAGCGATTCTAGGCGGACTTCGGTCTAGCCTCCCAGTTTGTAATTCCGCACTTTTGTGCGCCTTTTATATAATTATTCTATCGTTTCGGGAAAAAAAAAAGAAAGTAGTAATTTTCAAAGACTTTTTGTTCGTAAATATTGGTATTCATACTTCTCTAAGAAAATTCACACGTATTCTTTTTCTGATTGTGTTACTATTATATTATTTATTTCTTATTCTATAGATAAATAATATTTTATTTGCTACATAATTAAAGCACATTTATATGTATTGCGTTATTTTTTGTATGTGTTTTATATAATGATGTTTTCAAATTATCTTTTTTTATTAGGCTGCAACTACTATAATCACATAAGATATAATGTAAATTTAATATATTTGATAAAAATGTACTTTTTATATGAATTATTAGATTAAAATATTTACAATTTTTACCAATGTTTGATAAAAATATTAGGTAACTAAGTCATTTTCATAATCACTGAATACATATATGGTACCACCTTTATAGGGTTCTTTTTCAAGCAGTAATTGAATAATAGTTTAACGTACAACTCATTTATTTGTCTTTTTAATTCACATAGCTAATGTTCTCTCATTTCCTTTCTCTGGCCTAGTCTCTTCCTTCTTTTATCTATGATTTCACTTCGCTTCGCTTCGTTTGTACCTAAGGTGCATTCGCCATAGTTTCAGCATTACGGCAAACCAGTGTCAAATATATATCGGGAATGAGCGCTCTAGCCAAAATGTGGGAATAGTTGTAAGTTTACCTCCATTTTTTTTATATTATTTTTAATATGAATTGTTTCAAATCTATGTAAGAAAAATATATCACAAGTTTATCTTATGTTATTTTATACTTAATAAAATTGATTTAACTTGAATAAATAAATTAATATATACTATAATTTTAGGTCAATTTATTATTTTAAAATTATTACTGATATATATATATATCGATATAAATAATTATATTATTTTTTTTTTATTTGCAATATATTGGTCAACTCAAACATTATTGAAAAGAAATAATGTGATATATTACATATAAAAAGAGTAACAAATAAAAAGTATGAAGTGTCTCAAAATTAAAAAATTTAATGAGAGAAAGTAATTAAATTTTTAATTAAAAAATTTTAAGATTAACATACCCAATTTTAAAGAAATGTATACCTAAAAGTTCTAGTTAAAATATATGTGTATCTTAAGTATGTTTTATATTTCTCATTAGCCAGCTCCAATTGATATTATACATTAAGTAATTTTATCAGTATTTTTACTCTTTGATTTAATGAGAGCAATAAGTTTTCTCATTATTCTTACCTCTTATTTAGTTATTATAATACTAATAAAATAATTAAGGACCTTTCAAAGTATCTTGTTTGTTTTGAAACAAAAATTACTTATTATCATAAATTAAACGACAATTACATTGAATGTGTTATATTTTCTATCATATCAAAATTTTTATAATAATAGTTGCACACAATATTATATAATACAAGAAAATGAGAAAATTCCAACGAAAATTACAACAAGAATATAACGATCTTAAGTTGAATTGAGAAAAATCATGTCTTTTGGTTTCTTAATACATTTTACCTTATTGTGACTGTATTGATTTATTAAAATGTATTACAAAATGAGAAAGGTGATATATTAATTTATAAATTACAATGACATGTTATTTTGATGGTATATTTTTTCTATTAACTAAATAATGCCCCCAATATGAAACTATTTTAGATCTATCACTGCAATTAGCTTTCCAATGGAATTTCCATTGAATTTTTGCACAATTCCAATGACAGTTTTTCCAACGATTGAAATATGGTCCAAAAAAAATCCAATGGAAATTCAAGTAATTGAAATCTTTAAATCTACTAAAGTTCAAGTAATTTAATTTTAACTTTGTTGGAATAGCCAATGAAATTTTCCAATAAAAGCAATATTTATGAAATATTCGTTGGAATTTTCTGTAGATTACCTTACCATTGATTTTTTCATTGCAATATAGCAATTTGTTGTAGTCCTCTTAAACATTAATTTTTTATGTAGTATTTATTGATTAATTATGCTTACAATTTTTCTATTAAAAATATATTAAACACATGAACTTTTTAGTTCCTATATTTTTTTTTTCAAAAATTACTCATTATTTTATCTCAAGATTACCTATTGATTTACCAATTCAGTTACATTTCTTACATATTAAATATTTAAAAATTAGAATATTTCCTATTTTATATGTTCAATATGATATATATATATATATATATTATATTAAAAAAAACTAATATAGCAAATAAAATGTTATTTAGAATTAGAATAATAAAGATTTTTTTTTGGTAACTTACATGAATAAATGTACAAATAACTATTGTCTATCACATCAAATTTACACATAAAATTATAAGGAGAAAAAACTAACAAGCGTTTAACAACTCAGCTCGTTTACGTTGATAAGTATATTTATAAAAGGTTTATATTTCTTCTATTAATTATAACATTTTTATTTATTACTTTGTTTCATATTTATTAGTACGTGTCACAACTTATTTATTTTTAATATTATTTATCATATTTAATATTTTTTTAAAATTTTTATCTTGTTCTTTTACATGTTCTTAACTGTAGATTTGTCAAAAAATGCATTATATAAAGTCTAGAATTGTTTCGACCATCTGTCTCATTATATATCAATTATTTGTATATCTTATATTATATTATATTTAATTACAATTTTTTTTTAATTTATACTACAATTAAATATTTATAATTCATAAATTCATCAATAATATTGTCGAGTCAACTTTTGTTCATAAAATTTTGAAAAACATAATTATTTTCAATTATATGCTTATGTCAAATTAAGAAAAGTTATTTTTTTTTAATTGTAACTGTATTGATGTGTAACATATATTATAGATGAGAAAGATGACAAATTATGAAAAATATAATTTTATAAATTATAATGACATTATGTTATTTTACTGGTATACCTTTTCTATTATCTAAATAATGTCTCAAGTATGAAATTATTTTGTATCTACCACTGCAGGTAGATTTCGAATAGAACTTCCATTGAAATTCTTACATTTCCAGTGACATTTTTTCCAACTGTTGAAAAATGACCCGAAAAAAAATTCAAACGGAAATTCACACAATAACAAATAATGATAACTGGATTAATTAAATCCACTAAAATTTGAATATAATGTAATTTGATCTCGGAATAGTCAATGGAATTTTACAATGACAGCTATATGAATAAAATATCATTTGAGATT